AAAAAAAAAAAAAAAAAAAAAAAAAATGATGCAGTCAAGAGACAGGAAACATGAAATATATGAGGCTGCTGGTACCCTAACAGCAGACTGCTTTAAATGCTGTAAACTTTTTATATGTAGAATTACTATCTAAACAATGATGAAATAGTGCAGTGCAGCAAATATATAAATTAATAACAGTCATTTATTAGCAAGGCTTATACATAATTGTATTACTCTATACATCCGGCACAACAGGGGCCGGGGATATAGCTCAGTGCCACAGCACCTGCCTGGCGCATGCAAAGTCCTGAGTTTGATCCCCAGTACCAAAAAAAAAAAAAAACACTGTCAGAACAGTAAGTTCGTTTACATCATCATCACTACAAACACCTAATGTGTTCAGTGTGACATAAGGATGGCTGCAGTGTCCGTCTGTAATAGAAATCTTCCCACAGTTCCTCATTATGCAGCATGTGACCGTGTGTAAAGAAAATAGCATTTTTGTATTTTATGCAGTTTTAGGTAGTGGCTTAAGTTCAAGCTTTGGTTTTAGACTGATGAGCGTGGACTCAGCAGAACGTGACCCCCGAGCTCTATCCCCAGCCCTGAGATACTGCATCTTTAAACGGGGAGGAATACTTTCTTTGTTTTGTTTTTCAGGAATGAAGTCAAGGAAATAATTCTTATTCTGGTGAAAATAAAAGCTTTGAATCAAGCCGAATCCCTCATAGAAGAAAATCACCTAGACGATCTGAAATCACTAAAGAAGTTTGAATAAACTTTGTAAGAAAGTACTGAAATGAGATTTTAACGTAGTCACACTCAGTGGCTTGGCTGAAGAAAAGCTGGTGCCGCTCCATTCCCTCTGACGGAGGGTAGGGTTTGCAGAAGAGCAGAGCTCGCTCCCTCCGTCCCCGCACACTCTGCCTGCTGGCAGCATGAAAGGGTCCCCTTCCCGATTCTGTTTTTGAAAGAATTAAATGCATGGGAGCAGTAAGAACTCAGTGTGTTTCTTTTTCTTTCTACTTCTTTTTCAGTTTTAAAGGGCAGTTGGAGGAATTCTGCAGTGAACTCTTTCAACATAGAGAAGCATGCTAAGTCTTCTGACTTCTGAACCATAAAGTTGTGCTTATTGAACTCTATTTATTTAAATAATAAGTCTTAACTGGAATGAAGTGTTAAATATTTGAGGCATTTTAAGGCATTCCACAACCAATCAGCGAATTGTACTTCAGAAATCTGTGCCAATTTACTGAATCAACACAAGGGTAAGAGAGCCCCATTATATCCCCATTGGCAATACATAGGTACTGGTATCATCATCTTGTTAATTCAGTGCAAATTTGATAAGTAAAAAGAAAATGATTTTGTTTTGGCTGTTAGAAAGTAAATGCGTTGGTTTTAGCTATTTGTAATTCTTTCTGAAATACTCATCATTTTTAAGGCCTTCATATTTAAAAATACTGATCTATTGCCTGTCCTGCATAGCAAATAGTTTTTTGGTCACCATTTTTCTTTTAATTTTTGTCTAAGATGGTTCCTGGCATAAGTCATAACTTATTAGCAATTTCCTGCTCTTTTTTGTCATTGGTGGTATAAAAAGGAAACATTTTAAATATTTAGAATATGTGATTCATTTTCTGCTAAAAATAATACTTGTCAGCTTAAAGAGCTACAACACAAGGTAATAAGTTTTGACAATCGATTTTGCTAGTAATTTTGTTAACATCTATTTGTTAAATAACTTGAGCAGTTTTAAATATCTATTTTGTAAATTGTTGCCCAAAAGATACTGAGCAAAAATGGTTAATATTATAGGCTTTGTATCATTCTTCATCACTTCTATTTTCAAAATTACACAGAATGTATTTTCACAGGTATGTTACCTCTACTGCAGTGAAGCCTTGATTCACTAGTGTGAGGGATTTTTTAATTTATAGTACTTGTATAAATAAGGTGGCAGTAAAATTGCATCTGTAAAATTCAAACCATTGCTTAAAAGCATTGAGAGATGGAGGGGGAAGAGGGATAGTAAAAAGAATTAGGATGTGAAATGTACACAAACCAGCTCTCGATGATGAATGTAGCTAGGGTGTACTGCAAACATGCATGTACTAATAAAGATAAAAGTTTTTAAATAAGCCAGAACAAATTTGTGAAAAGGAAAAAAAGCATTTAGTATTCCTGTATAGCCAACTTCCCCAGTGAGAAATTTTCATTTTATTGTTATCCTTTCAGATATTTTTACCAAAGTGTACATAAAACTTTGTTATGTAAATGAGATACTTTGTTGTGTATTAAATTTGTAAATTTTTTACTATTAAAGCTAATATTTGGAAACTATCCTGACTCTTGGAATTTTAATTACAGATGTACTGGATGTGTGTGTTCCCTTAATGTCTTCTCTTCTGGACAGTACTAGAACTGCTTTCAACTGTTCTAATCATTTTAAATTTTATTATGCCTGGAGTTTGAACCTCAAAGTTCTGTCATACGCTGTAACTCAAAAATTACTGAACTTACCTAATCATAAGTACGAATTTTTTTCTTCCTTTTCCTGTGAAATGGACAGAATAAAGGAGAGGAATACAGCTAGCAAGAACAAAACATTGACTTGGCAACTCACTTTACATCTTAATTATTACCCTGAATTTTTCTTCAGCTTGTTGTTCACTTAAAGAATGTGACACTTTGGGCCAGGGATATAGCTCAGAAGCACAAATGCCTGCCTGGCAAGTGCAAGGTCCTGAGTTTAGTTCCCGGTACCAAAAAACAAAAAAAGTGAAACTTTCATAGAGCTTACAGAAGAAATTAAAAAAAAAAAAAATTATCACAATGAAACAATCATTTGAAAACAACTGGTTTTTGCATTTCATAGGTCCAGGACAAAATCCCTATGTAGATGACTCCTAAGAAATACATAAAAAATTTTAAAATGATATAAGAAAACAGCCCAGTATCCCTAATTACATCTAGCAGTGTAAACTGCAATAAAAGTCCAGCAAAGACTTACGTGTATACAATTTTTAACTAAAGGATGAAGTTCATTCAGTGGACAATCTATACCAGTATTGGTAGATCTAGAAAATCTAATTTTGTGTGTCACCTATCTTATTTCTGTCTGCACAGACACACACACACACACACACATAAAATACAGAGGGATTTCAGATCTAAGTATAGGACTCAGAAACAGAGGCTTATAGAAAGACCACAGAATCTCTGTGATTTGGGGGCAAGTAAAAATTTCTTGAGAAAGTTATAAAGAGCACTAACCATAAAAGAAAAAAAAAAAAATTGAGCTTGGGAAACTTATGCAAAAGTGGTCAACATCTTATGTTCTCAGTGAGAAAACCACAATAATACACAATTTCACATCTATTACAATGATTTAAAGGTACAGTGTGGATGAAGATGTGAAGCCATTGGAACACTCACTGATGATGCAAGTGGAAAAGGCGTAACTTTTGGAGAACGGTTCATGTGTTTGTTACTGAAGTTAAATATTAACCTGCCACAGAGTAGCATGGAAAAAACCAGCAATGTATGACCCAGAGAGCAGCAGAAAAGCAGGCACTTAATATGGAATGGCTTATGAGAGCAGCCGGATGTCAGATTTATGAAAAAGGTTTTAGCCATTACAAATATTCACAGAACTGGAAGTTATTAAAGGCAAAGGAATATAGGATGAGAATGTTGCATCAAATAGAGAACATCAACAGAAATGGTTCTTTTTAGAAAAAGTTTTTAAAATGTAATAAAGTAGGATTATATATCATATGATTATAAATAACCACTTTTAGGGTGACCAGCGATCCTAGTTTATCTGGGATTTAGGGGTTTTCTAAGAAGTAGGACTTGCAGTGCTACAACTGGAGAGCAGTTTTAAAAAACACTTTATGTTCAGCAGATTGTCTTAGTCTTTAGATAATTGTTTCACTTTTATTTTAGTACCTAGAAATGTGGATCTAGATTCAGTGTTCTGTATGTGTATAGCCTGTTTTCCAGCACCATTTGTTACAGAGACTATCTCCTCCAGCGTTTTTGGCCCCTTTGTCAGAGATCAGGTGACTGACAGTGCCTGGGGTTGTTTCTCATCCTCTATTCTGTTCCACTGATCACAAATCTGTGCCAGTAGCATGCTGTTTTTATCACTGTAGCTAGGGGAGGACTTTCTGAGCAGAACCTCAATTATACAAGAAATAAAATCAACAAATCCTATCAAACTAAAAATCCTCTAACAGCAAAGGAAATCAACAGTGAAGAGAATGAAGAATAAAGAGACTACCTACAGAATGGGAAAAAATATTTGCCAGCTATTCCTTGGACAGAGGACTAATGTCTAGAATACAGAAAGAACTAAAAAAAAAAAAAAATTAGGTCCCCCAAAATAAAAGACCAAGTATGAATGGCTAGTAAACACATGCAAAATGCTCAGTACCTCTGCTTTTAGAGATTCATATGTTAAAACACTAAGATACTACCTTATTCTGAAAGACTGGTTATCATCAGGAAATCAGATAAAATGCTAAAGCTCTTCTACAATGTTAGTGGGAAGTATGTACTAGTACAATCACTACTGAAGTATAGAGATTCTTCAAAAAAACTAAAACTAGAAATTCCATTCAACCCAGCTATTCTTCTAGGTATCTTCTCAAAATAAAGACTTATTACAGTGATACATGCATACCCGTGTTTATTGAGGTACAATTCGTAATAGCTAAATCTTGGAAGCAGCCTCTATGTTCATTACCAGATGAATGGACAAAGAAAAAGCGGTATTTATACAGACTGGAGTCCTACTCTGCCAGAAAGGATAATTTTGAGTCACTTGGAGGAAAATGATGCACCTTGAGACAATAATTTAAATGAAATAAATCAGACATAGAATCTTAAATACTGCATGGTTTTTCTTAAGAAACCAAAAGTGTAAATATTTTGAAGAGCAAAATAAAAGATAATAGGAAACAAGGAAATCTTTTGCAAGTGAAAAGGAGACCAAGGGGCAGAGAAGTATATTAAAAAGAATTAAAATGTGTACAGCTCCCCACAATGAATGTAATTATTACACAGAGCAAACATGTACTAATAAAACAAGTGATAAGTTAAAAATACACACACAATATGGTAGAACAGGCAAATTCAAGATCATGACCTCCTATGAAAACACTGAAAAACAAGCAAGGTCATAATCAACTTTTGTCAGAAATCTGAAGAACTGAAAAATGTAGAGCAAACAAGCAAATGCTGAATCTGCCAAGAAACAGTGATATCAGGATAGGCTTATGGGGCTGCGGATATTACTCAATGGTAGAATATATGATTAATGTTCAAAGCCTGGGTTCAGTAAAATTTTTGAGAAGCTATCTGAACAAATCATTTAAATACTAGATGATGATCCAGGTATTAAATGCTCCTAGTTAGATGGCTGTATTAACCCAAAAGCAGTGTCTAAATGTTGCCATCTGGCAGACCTTCCATCTACAAAGACTGGAACCCACAAGAGAACCTGACCAAGATACACATGTTCGACTCCCCAAAAAGCCCATGTAAACAACCCTGAGGACAACTTTCCAGTTGAAGGCTTTACAAGCTGCTGTCCCCCATTCAACCACAGAGAGCCAAGGATGTCCCAGACAGACATAATACATGGAAAACAAATAAATACACAAAATAAGACACCTAGAGGAAACAGAAGTTGTAAGAAAACAATTTCAAAAGAAAAAATTCTTATACCTTTAGTGCTAACAGAATAAATGCATAGATATGGAACTTTCACAAGTTGAAAAAAACTATATTATGTACTGAATTGTGAGATTTTAAATGACAAAGAATTGCATGATAAAGCTAGGGCTACACATAAAACAAAAATAGGTTTTAAAAAATGGATACCCAGGTCTGTACAGGGTATCTAAAATCCAAGCACCAGGAAGAAACAGAGAACTCAACAAGTGTTCTTTCCCATGAATGTTACACCAAAACCCCAAAACAATGGATAAAAATACACCCACACCAAACAATGTCACTGAAAATTTCCTTACTGTGAAAGTGTGAAGACTAACACTTTCTACAAGCTATGTATGTTTAAGGAAAAGAAATCAAATCTTTGGATTTCACAATACAACAGGGAAACACAGATGATGGAGCAATACCTTTAAAACTATAAAGGAAAATTATCTCCCACCTAAAATTCTGCTATCAATAAAATATGATAGACATGCAAGGTCTCAAGACTTTTACTACTTTTTTCTAGAAGCGACCAAGGAATGTACTCCACAAAGTTAGTGGCCAGCAAAATGGAAAACAGAATTCAGTACACAAGGACACTCACGCCACCACTTCCTGGAAGTATTCTGTTTTGACTTAAGAGTAAGAGCTGCAGTTTGATTCACCATGCTCTTTCAAAAACTCAGAAAATACCATTTATTATCTCCAATTACATTTCTGCTAGACCTCAGCTGCCCAGTTAACTCTGTAATCCAACCAGACACCTTAGGGTAAGGTTTCTGTTCAGCAGAACTCGCTCAGAACCTTAACCATGAACTTCCTCAAAGTGCTTTCGTACTTTCGGGGAAGCTAAAACCAGATTGTGATCAAAGACTGTCCCCAGATTGTGATCAAAGACTGTCACGTTCTTGAAATGTTCATGTGATAATGACAAGAAAATCCTTTTATACTTGTTAACAGGCTTTTCCAAACTAAATATATTGTTTAGGAATGTATATATATACAGACAGCAAACTAAAACAAACACCAGGGAATGGTTAACATAGGATGATGTAATATCTAAAACAAGGGAAGTGACAAATAGTTGTCTTCTTAGATTTTAGTAAATGCTCTATTTCTTAACCTGACAGTGGGTTCACTTTAACTTAATTTGTTCTACAATTACAACAATTTTACAATTTTGTAATTAGAACATTTACAATTAGAAATTTTCTTTTTTTTTTTTTTCGTTTTTTTTTGGTTTTTTTCCGGTACCAGGAATCAAAGTCACGACCTCGTGCTTGCCAGACAGGCGCTGTGCCGCTGAACTAAATCCCCAGCCCCTGTTCTATAATTATTTAATTCACAATTTAAAAATAGCATCCCACCCACTTCAGATCCGTGCTGACTAAAGCACATTCTGAGGATGCTGTCTTCTAGTGTAGCACTGCCTCCAAGAAGGGAATGAACACTGGGTCATTCGGCACATATATTCTCTTTTTCAGTAATAAACTGCTACAAAAATCTTATTTTTTGAAAACTAATTTAGAAAAAGAATGCTTAGTTTATTTAAGGGTTATGTTCTTATAAATAAACATAAATTGCTTTCAAGATAAACCCTCTAAAAGACAATACATCCTCCGCAGGTAACCAAAGGCTTCTCAGAATCAAGACTTTTTTGATGCTTCAATTTCATCCCATATTGCAGCCTGAATTTTTGAAGTATCATATTCCCTCATCATATCAAATTCAAGCCATGGCTGACTCCACTTCTGAGCTTCTTTCATTTGTTCTTCAGTTAAACAAAGATCAAATCTGATTCCTTTAATATTAAAATATGGACGTTCCCAGCGTTTGGACCAAGGCCTAGGCTTCATTTTTACTTTCAGCTAAGGGAAAATAAAGAAAAAGATTAGCCAGGCTGCCAAGACAGAAGCGAAATTTCTTCTGAAGTTTTCATTAACTCTCTCTTATTTTATACTTTCATTGCCATATGTGCAACCCGTACCTCGTTAACAGGAACTTCTTTGTTGGACTCTGGTGTTACTGGCTTCATATTCACATCAAAAGTGCTGTACTCAGGAAGGGCATCTCGTAAGTACAGCAAGCTATCGTCCAGCCGTTTCTCTAATTTGACCACTTGGATCTCATGGATTCGAGGATTATACAGATCAAAGCAAATCTCAACACCTAAAAAGATAACATATTCGTACACTCTAAGTCCAGATCCTGTAAAGACCTCAAAATAGTAGAAGGTATTTTATAAAGGAACTAGTACAACATTTTGCAGGTGGGAAATGTGACATAAATTTGTAATTTTTAAGATGGCTACTGAAAAAAACAAGCTAAAATCCACCTGAAATACATAGAAAACGAGAAAACCTGGATTAGAGTAAGTCTAAAGAAAAATGTCTTCTATACATATGGTGTCACATACCTCTTCAATTCTCTTAAGGCATTAATTTAGAGAAAGTAAGAATGAATACATCACTATGTCATGTTCTCATATATCCCAATTACTTGATTAAAAACTGTCCAGGACTAACAAGATTAATGATATAAGAAAAGGACAATTTTAAGTTTTAACTTTGGTGTGGAAGCCCCTCTTAAAGAGGGCCCATTTGCCTTCCACATGATGCAAGACAGGCACAGCTTTGAGTATAACAAATTGCTATTAAATAGTACTTTAATATATCCCAGGTAAGAGCATACTTAGAGGCTTTCTGAAATAACATGAAGAGAATTAAAAGTACTATTATGTATGCTAAAGCTTCTAGTGTTTTCTAACAGGACCCAATCCAATATTTACTATATGTAACTATTTTGTTCCAAGCACTGATCCAAGAACTGTGCCTACAACAAACTAAAATACAGTAAAATCTTTCTCTCAGGAAGCTAAAATTCTAAGTGGATGACAAAAACAAAACAAAAAACACCAACAAGGTAATTCGATACAGTGAAGACGAGACGGGTGATGGCCCTGTGCCTGGGAGGGTCAACCCTAAACAGTACAGGCAAGGACGTTTCTGAGATGACATATGAACTCATGCAAGAAAGGACCAAGAACGCTCCAGGCAGAAAGAATAACAAATACAAAAGCCCTGAGGTGTGGAAAACTTGCCATGTTGGAAAAAACAGGGAAGGGCCCATTTGGCAGGAATACAGTAATGTGGTAAGCAAGGTGCTGTGATTTGAATGTGTCCTTCCAAAATCCAGGCTGAAACTCCCAGTTGTGGTGGTATTAAGTGGGCCCTTTAGGGAAATCATGAGGGTCTTTATCCTCACATAGTGCCTCACAAAGGAGGTAGACAAAACTATCCCGGGGCTCTTTGCCCTTCTGTCTTCCGCCAGGCGACAACTCAGTATTTGTCTCCTCCAGAGCACAAAGCAACAGGCGCCGTCTTAAAATCAAGGAACACGGCCCTCACCAGACAGTAACCTGCCCTGATCTTGGACTTTTCAGCCTTCTGGACTGTGAGAAATAAACCTGGTCTTTATATATTAGAGCAGTTTGGGCATTTACTTTTAGCAGCCCAAACAGGGTAAGACACCAGGAGCATCATTATGCTTATCTTAGTGTTCTCAAAAGTTACTCCTGAAGGAAATACCCCCACACGGCTTCACAGTGCCTTGTTTCCTCGCTTGATGTAGCCACGCCGGGGAGCCTACTTCTAATGGCCATTGACCCTACAATAAAAGAAGCCTTCAAGAGCATGCAGAACACCGATTGTATTTCAGCAAGTGACACAATTCCCAATCCACTCTAAGGCAACAGACTCTCAAGTCTCTTACAGCAGCTACACGTTCAGGTTCAACTTTTAAGCGTCTCATCTCAAGAAAGAGAAAACGAAAAGGAATTAATCCTGAGGTAACATTTCCTAAACAATTACAATAATGAAATAAAACCTACCTTGTCTTTCAATAGTATTCCTAAGAGTAAAAGTAGCTCCAAGTCCACTTCCAGACCTCTGGATGCAAATTCCCAGAAACTGGCTAAATTTTCCTTGGGCATATGGGTCAGATGTAGTTACACGTAGTATGCTTCCTACAAATCGTAAGAGAATCGAATTTCTACATGAAATTCAAAAATAATGTTTCTAGGTAATTTACCTTCTAAATATTTTAATATCTTATTAGAAGTACCCCAAAAGGATAAAAACACAGATATGTGACGAACAATCTTCTTATACACAGAGAATTAACCCTCCAACTACCAAGAAAGAAAAAAGAACTCAGCTCTTACTGACCGACATAGAACTCTGGAATGTGGAGTACTTTTCTCCTTTCTAACATATCCTTTCTTTCTATCTGAAATTTCAGAGGATCTGTTCTTCCCCTAGGAGGAATAAATTCAGGACTCAAGAACCTGTGAAAATATAAATAAAAAAAAAAAATTAAAAGCAAACTTGGGCCATAAGAAAAAAAAAAACGTGCTTTACAAAGAAATGGAGAATATGATGTTGACACATTTTATTCTTCAGTTTCTAATTTTTTTTTTTTCTTTGAGACAGGGTCTCACTATGCAGTTCAGGCTGGCCTTGTTATTATTTGAATTGTTATCTCCTTCTGACTCAGCCTCCCCAGTGCTGGGATTACAGGCATGCGCCATCCCTCCCAGTTTCATTTTCTAAATAAGAAGCCAGTGTTATTTCTAAAACTATTCATTTCAAAAATTGTTAATACTCATAATACCTAACAACTACTGAGTACTCCTGGCATTTTGTTAAAAGCATCATGAAACACATAAATAGCTATTGTGGTTCACATCTTAAATGTCCCCCTTAAAAGGCCCATATGCTAAAGGCATGGGTGCCAACCTACAATGCTCCTGGAAGGTGTGGAACCTTTAGAAAGGGGAAGTTAAATCATTAGGGGTGTGGGCTTGTGGGGGATGTTGGGACCCAGCACTTTTTCTGTCCTGGCCTGTGTAAGGCTAGCAGTTTCATCTACCACGCACTCCTGCCATGAAGTACTGTCTCTCCACAGGCCCAAGGAGAAAGGGACAGCTCAAAGCAACCATGCGCTGGAAGAACCCTTCCTCCTTTGAAGTGAATACCTCAGGTACTCCATCACAGTACCAAAGCACTAACACAGTTGCATGATGTAATCCTTATAGCACAGATGAGTTTGGTGTCATCAGACAAAGAAACTAAAGCTTGAAGAAGGCAAAAAACTGACCCACTATTATATTAGTTATAAATCTGTCAAGTCAGATTCAGTCAGTCTCCAAAGTCGATGGCTCTACTCAAAGACCTCACACTAAGCTATAAATTACAATAAATTAAGCTGGAAAAGACAGACATGCCAACTGCAAATATTTTAAAATTAACCTTATTTTCTTTAACCGATTTTAAACTCATTATAAAACATTAATGTATTGAAAAAGTATGATATTACAACAAATATTCATGCCCCTACCACTCAACTCAAGAAATAAATTATCAACATAGTTGAAGATTCTGTGGATCCTTTTTTCTTCCTATACTTAATTACCATCCTAGACTTATTACTAGGACCATATTTATTATAATTATAGTTAATTACTATCCTGATTATTCTCAGGAATTTCCTTTTCAATTTTCTATTATGAAAATTTTCAAAACTTCCAGAGTTGACATAATCATACAAAGAACAGCAATATATTCTTCATCCAACTGTACCAACTGTCAAAATTTTCCTATATTTGATTATTTCCTAGGCCATCTGGGATGTCAGATAGAAAGGCATGTCATTATTCAACAACTAAGAAGGCTTAATTCTAAGAATAAGGACTTTCGTCTACATTATCACAAGACCTTTGTAACAGCTAAGAAAATTAGCACTGATTCAATCATGTGCAGTGGTAACTCGGTTCACACACGATTTACACACTGTACTGGGTTGTTAGTCTCTGAAACTACTATTATTCACCAGCTTCCCACTTTTATAACATTGATCCTTTTGAAAAGTGAAGATGTGCTGTCTTATGGACCACTGCTGGATTCTAGATTTATTATTTCGACATCCCTAGACTGAGGTTAAACACTTTTGGTAAGAGTATTACAAGGAGATAATGAGAGCATCTTCTTCTGTCACCATCAGAAGGAAATAATGTCAGACTGTACCACTTTTGGTAAAGTTAGGTTTGAATGTTGAAAAGTGTCCTTTCTACATTTCTTTCCACTTTATATGTGCATATATGTTTAGATTTACTACATAAAGTTCCCTGAAAGCTGGTTTTTACACATTTGTGAAATTCATTCATGTTTTTAAAAGTTTGCTCTAGCTCATTCATTTTCATCACTGAGTAACATTCCAATACATGATTATATTTGCCTGTTCATATATATATATATATATATATATATGGCAGCTCTAAACATTTGTTACAATACTGTTCTATTCACTCCTATTCATAGTTCCCTGTACATAGGTATTAGATACTTTAACCTGTTTGCCTTCTAGGTGCAAAGGTGTATACAACTTCAAATTTATTAAATCCTGCCAAACTGTTTTCCAAAGAATAAAATTACATTCCCATTTAACTGAGTTTTAGTAAGCAGTGGCCTTTAAGAGACAGATTCCTTGCCAGGCACTGTGGTGCACCCCTGTAACCCCAACACTCTAGGAGGCCGAGGGCAGGAGGATCTCAAGTTTGAGTCCCTCCTGGGCAACTAACCAAAACCCTGTCTCAAAATTAAAAAACAAATGAATAAAAATTAAAAAGGGCTAGAGATACAGCTCAATGCAAAGGCTCTGGGTTCAATCCCCAGTCCTGAAAAAAATGAGAGAGAAAAAACAGATTCCTTAGAAAAAAAGGAGTTATAAGACAATCTTTTTTTTTTTTTTTGGTTTTGGTTTTTTTCCGGTACCAGGAACCGAACTCATGACCTTGCGCTTGCCAGGCAGGCGCTTTGCCGCTGAGCTAAATCCCCAGCCCCTAAGACAATCATTTTTAATCTCTAGGTTTGTGCTATAGAGCTTTTTTAAATTTTAAATTAAAAAAAAAAAATAGAAAAGATTTCAGAAAGCCTCACATCAAAGTTTGTCCTCTAAGGGGCTATCGAAAAGTGTTTTCACTTAGCTGGGTGTAGTAAGACACGCCCATAATCCTAGCATTTGGGAGGCTGAGGCAGGAGGAGTTCAAGGCCAGCCTGGGCTAGAGCAGAGTAAGGCCGTGCCTTAAAAAAAAAAGTTTTCACAAAGCTCTGCAGGAATACCTTTGCTAAGTCTTGCTTGGATCATTTAAATTAACATGAAACTCCCCGGTTATCAACAATTCATTTAAATGAATCAGAATTTTAATTACACTGTTTTGAAGACCACATTTTAGGCACAAATCAGAGCAGAGTTTTACTACGATATTCCATCTGCCGGGAATGCCCGTCCAAAGCATGTTAAGCTTGGGCCAAGTGATTCCTCCCCGGAGATAGAAAAGATCAGGTAGAAAAGATCGGCCTCAGTACGCGAACAGGAATAAGACGTGTCCGGGAGGGGAAAGCACCGCAGAGGAAAGAGCTTCCAATCCCGGACCGCTACTCCTACGGCACCCGCAGCTGTCTTAATGAAGGGACCAAAGCAGGTTAGGGGAGAAGCAGGAAGTGCAGCACGGTGCGGGCAGCACTGTGCACCCCAGCTCGGGCCCGGGAGCTCCGGCCCCGCGCGCCCCGCCAAGCTGGCGGCCGGCGGGCTCCACGCCCCGGCCCCGGCCTCACCTCCTCTCCTCGCGCGGGCGTCGGCGCTTGTCCGCGATGACCGGTTTCGGCGGCGGCCGGAACGCGCCAGGCTCCGAAGGCCCATTGCTGTGCCCGGCGCGGACCCCTGCGGGAGGAAGCCGCGGAGGTGAGGACTCGCGCCCGCCCCGAGCTCGCGGAATCGCACGTCTCCACCCCGCGAGGGCCAACAGCCGGGTCGCCCAGCCCGCCTGGAGCACCTCCTACCAGCCGGACCCTGGACTCCTCCAGGTCCTCAGCGAATGAGCCCCGGCTCCACTTACAGCGAGCGACGCAGCCCAGCCCAGGAAGCAGCCCTGGAGACGCTCGGAAGCTGTGGGCCAAGCCCAAGGTGCCCCCGTTCCCCACTACGATGCAGACAGCCATGCCTGCTCGCACACGCCGGGACTACAACGCCCAGAAATCAATGCGACGAGGTCGTAGCCACGTGCTGTAGGATGGCGGCTGATAAGGGACAAAACAGATAACTCTCCACCTCCGCCTTCCCGCCTGGCTATTTTTGAAGAAGTACATTCTTTCCCAAGTTCTCCAAAATGTGTCAAGTTACACTCCTCCACAGGGTATTCTCAAAGTCTCTCTTAATCAACTGTTTTCACTTTCTCAGGCAAGGCTTTCCTATTTTAAAACCCATTATAGACTCTCATTCGTAGGAGGTACTTCCATTAACTAACTCATTTGCTGTTAGATTAGTATATTTAACTCTTTCATACTCTAAATTCTAAAAGGTAAGCCCTAAAGTCTTTTTCTGCTCACCATTCTATCTTACTATCTATCTAGTACCAACCTGGTCCTCACTAACTCTTCACTGAATGCACAGAAGGGAGAAGAAAGTAATTCCTGAAACAGCTTACACAGAGCTTGAGATTGCAGAGAACATTACCCTTTTGATGAACTAAAATTGAGTTTTGGCTGCGAAACTGGGAGAGATGTAGCTTTTTAAAAGAGTAAATGTGCCCTGGGTTCCAGCCACAGAACCAAAAAGAAAAGAGAGAAAGGAAGAAGAGAGGGAGGGAGTAGAGGAAGGAGAGAAAAAAGGATGGAAGACTGGAAGAAGAAAAGACTTTCAGAAAAGTAAGCTACTGAAAACACCTCATCTAGTTACCCCTTAAAAAAATTAAAGCTTTATTTTCTAACTTAGTATGGAGATACCAGCAAGAATAGGTTCTAACATGACCCGTGTGTTAACACACCCAGAGAAAGAATCTTATTATAAACAGGAGTTGATAATTTAGGAAACAGAATTAAAATATGAAAATTTGGCCAGTGATTAGCCAGAAAAGAAAGGAGATTTAGCCACATGATTTGGGGATTTTCAGGCTCACTGATGAGTTGTCATGGTTTACAGCTAGATGTCCTCCCAAAAGTTCATATCTAGATGTCCCCCGCAAAGACTTATGTGCTCATAAGTGGAGTTCTAGGTGTGGGAAGTGGTTGAAGCTGGAGATCATTCACATGTGTGGGGCTAAAACAAGACCAGCCCCAAGAGCACAGAGCACCCAAGAAGCCACATGAACAAGTTGTTAGACAGAGGGGTTTCAATTGACAATAGCCTCCTGAGTGTATACATAAATATACTGTAGTCATTGGCAGTTCTTTCTGTCCCACGAGGAGAGGAGACTGCACCTGAACTCAACTTTCTGCATCTTCTTTTTCTTCATCCTCCACTGTCCCCTCTCCAGAGTTTTAAGAGCTGTGCCAGATGTGGCATTTGGGGAAGTGATTGGATCCTGGGTATGTGGTACTCATCAGTGGATTAGTCCACTGATCCACTGATGAGTTTATAGCTAAATGTGATGTTGGGAGCAAAGCCAGGTTGGAGGGGGTGGGTCACTAGTGGCTGGTCTGGAAGGGTACATCTCCCTCCCTTGATAGGTATCTGCTTCCCACCACCATGCCACGAGCAAGCCATCTTTGTCATGCTGACCTGTCTTGGAGACATCCAACTATGGAGACAGCCAGCTATGGACCTCTACAAACTGTGAGCCAAAATTGAACCTTTCCCCCTTAGAATTGTGGGCATCAGGTATTATGTCTCAGCAAATAACTAAGACAGATTTTGGTACCAAAGTCATTGCTATAATGCTACCTAACCACATTATTCAGAGCCTTTTGAACTGTCTTCCAAGGGAAGTTTGGAAAGGTTTAGAGATGGTGACTGGAGGAATAGCCCTACAGTGCTGTGAGCTGAGCTTGATGCAAGATTCTAGTCAGAGCTCAGAAAATCGGAATGTTGACTGCAATTCAGCCAGAGAAGACCAGGCTCAAGAGTTGGGGAAAAGAACTACACTGGCAGCTGGACTCCAAGCTCTGTGTACTGTGCCCTGAAAGAAAATTTGTTAGCATTTTGCTCATGTTTGGAGACTTGGTGAGAGACTGAGATTAAGGGTTGCAGACTAATTAATCTGGTGGAGGAAATGACAAATCAGCCAAACACTCAGGCTGTGGCTTGGTTACTGTTCAGGGCTTTTAGCTGGTTCTATATTGTAAATCAAGAGCAAAACTGCACAGCAGAATGATTTAAAGTGTGTTAAGTTTGGCCAGAATAAAAGATAGTAAAATGTTGGAGCCTGCAAAGATGGAGCAGTGGAGAAAATGGTTTCTGAAAAGATTAGCATTAAATAGAAGTCAAGCAATTTGAAACAGGACAATAGAAAACATGCCTTGAGGCAATGTGACAAACAAAGTTCCACTCCTTACAGGCATAGAATTGCAAAGATAAAAGACTGTTTTGAGAAGAGAACCCCAGGGCACCATGCTCCAGAATGGCAGCTGCTTAGGAAATTTGTTCCCCAGGATTCAGTTCACCATGCTCAGCTATTCAGGCACTCCAAGTCTTCTGCAACCACCAGCAAAGTGGAAAAGGGCCAAGATATTGCTCCAGTTGGTGGCAGACCTTGGCATCATCCACATGATGCTGTTTTTACATATATGCAGAATGCAAAAGTTGTGGGCTGAGGAAGGCTTCCACCCAGATTTCACAAGGCCAGAGAGGCCAGGCAGTGTGTCCCTGAGAGAACAGTGAGTGAAGCTGTGAGAGTAAAACTGAAAGTCTGGTGGAGACCCCAGGATGCTGGAAGCCAATAATATGGACTGTCTGAGCAAAATCAGCCCCAGAGAAAGGCCAAGAAAGATTCAACCACTGCTCCAAGCAGTGCCTAGGGGTGGGGATCCCAGAAGGCCTTTGGAGTTTACATCCTGCCACAGATTTCCCTGGATGCTGGATACGGAATGATGGGATTTAATATTTGCCCTGCTGGATTTCTGCTGCAGGAATGCAAGTTCAAGCTTTGCACAGACAATTTAACAACTTAGCAAGGTCTTGTGTCAGAATAAAAGAGTTTAAAATAAGAATTGTAGGATCTTTTCCAGGAGATATACATATTATATATATTATATATATATAATTAATATATATTATATATAATAATATGTATAATATATATATAATTTTTTTAAAATCACAAATTAAACCTATGGTTGATGACACTCAAAAACAATAACTACTGAGTACTTCTCAGTTTGAAGAAATATTATGAGGACTAGGGATTCAGTAGTGAGAAAAATTAATTCCTTGCCCTCAATAAACTCACACGACATGGAGGATAAATAAGTGGTAGAAAATGGGCCTGAGCAGTGGTCAGTGCACTGAAGGATGAGAGGAATAGAGTGGTCATTGTGAGCAGAGAACTGAATAAAGTAAGGGAAGAGGTCATGGGGATACTGGGAGAAGAGAATTTCTACAAATACATAGATAATCTGCCTGTAGAAATATCTAGAATTGCTACAAGTTTTGTTGTTGTTGCTTTTGTAGGTTTTTTCTTTTTTTCTTTATTTTTTTCAAGTACTGGAGATTGAACTAAGCACTTTTCCAGCCCTTTTCAAAAATTTTACTTTGAGACAGGGTCTTGGTAAATCACTAAGTTGCCCAGGGTGACCTCAAACTTGTGATCTTCTTGCCTCAGCCTCCTGAGTAGTTGGGATTAGAGGCATGTGCTGCCATACCCAGCAAACTGTTAGGTCTTAAAATAGCATAAACTCTGTCCTATTGCACTTACTACTCTGGGACTTCCTTTTACTGAGATTTTACAAATCCTGATATAAATGAGAGAAGACAGCTGTGAATCCAGGGTGCTGCAAATAGAAATGTCATTTATCTTAGGCTAGGGAAGGTGAGAAAATTTTCCAGAGATGACTTTTTAATTAAAAAAAAAAACAACTTTCTTTTGCAGGACACATAAGTGGAGACTGGTTAAATTATCACAGAGTTTAGCAGAGTGCTAGGGGCACATCTCAGTGGCAGCATGTGAGCTTAGCTTACACCAGGCCCTGGAGTCTTTCTGGGGTCTATCGCCAGAATCAAAAAAGTAAAGTTTAGTTGAAGAACAAATGACAAAGGCAGATGTAATAACTTGTATGCACAGTTTGAGGCTAGTTAATACAGGGACAGCAAATCACAGTAGTACAATTAGCCCAATAAAATTACACAGTTTCAGAGTGGTGTATTCAACAAATCTTTCCTGTGCTCCTACTGTGTGCTAGACACTGCACTGGGAGCTTAGGATATAAACACTTGCAAGGGTAGAATATGGTTGCAAGGATAGAATATGATTATTAATAAAAATATATACAAATATATGTGTTTATTTCTTGCTTACTCTCTCTTCAGCACATGCTTTTCAAAAGCCAGTTCAATTGGCCCTTTTTGCCAAAAAGCTTTTTCCATCACTCACACTAAATTCACTACTGTATGCTTTCAAAGGACTTGGTGTATATTTGTATTAAGGCATTTATCTTGAAAGATGTAATTATCTTTTGGTTATCTGCCTCTACCTTCAGACAGAGTGTTCTCTCAAACAAAGGTCATCTCTTTTCTCACCTTTGCAATTTTGGGGCCCAGCCAAAGCCTGTGGTGGGTGCCCTATATATTGGTAAGTGCAGGCAGAAGGGACAAAATACTCTGCTAAGTGAATGGTGGGCCTAAGGAGTAAGTCATTCTGTGTTTCTCCCCCATCACGCCGCCTAGAGAAAAGTCTTCCCTGTGCAAGACTCTCTGTGACCAAGACTGGCTTCACAACCTTCTCATCTCTTCCTTTTCATTGGCCCCTGGCACATCAATCATAGCAGTGTGCAGCGCTGGGTGGTTTGCAGTTTCTTTTTCCTGCAGCACTTCCTTCCCATATCCTGCTACCCTCTGGGTGTCTACACACACGTCACCTTCTATAATGCACCTTCTTGGCACACTGAATTGAAGCCAACGACCACTCCCTACCCTCTCACAGCGTGCTGGAGTTTTCCTTCAAATGCTTTGTCACATGTCGTGATCATTTTATATTTTTCTTTCTTCAAAAAACCTAAAAGCTTGTGGAGGGTAGAAAGTGGCATTTTTCTTACCACAGTAACCCAGCCCCT